TATATCGGTGAGTAAGAACAAAACAGAAGTATTAAATTCCTTGATGACATATCGGTGAGTAAGAACAAAAACAGAATGATTAAGATCCTTGATGATATATCGGTGAGTAAGAACAAAAACAGAATTATTAAGTTCCTTGATGATATATCGGTGAGTAAGAACAAAAACAGAAGTATTAAATTCCTTGATGATATATCGGTGAGTAAGAACAAAAACAGAAGTATTAAGTTTCTTGATGATATATCGGTGAGTAAGAACAAAAACAGAATGATTAAGGTCCTTGATGATATATTGGTGAGTAAGAACAAAAACAGTGATTAAGATTCCCTTAGAATGTATCTGTGAATAGCAACAAAAACAGAATGATTAAGTTGTTTTAGAACGTACCTGTGAATAGCAACAAAACAGAGTGATTAAGTTCCTTGATGACATATCGGTGAGTAAGAACAAAAACAGTGATTAAGATTCCCTTAGAATGTATCTGTGAATAGCAACAAAAACAGAATGATTAAGTTCCCCTAGAACATATTTGTGAGTAAAACAAAAACAGAATGATTAAGTTGTTTTAGAATGTACCTGTGAATAGCAACAAAAACAGAATGATTAAGTTATTTTAGAACGTACCTGTGAATGGCAACAAAAACAGAATGATTAAGTTCCCCTAGAACATATTTGTGAGTAAAACAAAAACAGAATGATTAAGTTGTTTAGAATGTACCTGTGAATAGCAACAAAAACAGAATGATTAAGTTGCTTTAGAACGTACCTGTGAATAGCAACAAAACAGAATGATTAAGTTGCTTTAGAACGTACCTGTGAATAGCAACAAAAACAGAATGATTAAGTTGCTTTAGAACGTACCTGTGAATAGCAACAAAAACAGAATGATTAAGTTCCCTTAGAACATATTTATGAATAAAACAAAAACAGAATGATTAAATTTCCTTAGAATATATTTGTGAATAGCAACAAAAATAGAATGATCAATTTCCTTGATTTGTGGTAAAAAACGTATTTAGTTTAATCTATTTGCTTTACTGTTATCTTATTGGTTTCTGTTATAAATGAGATATATTTAATTTTGTAGTATATAGCATTTGAACAATCACATGGATCTTTTTTTTCCCCTCTCTTATATATTATAACTTTAAGACTTCTTGTCCAATTTAGGGTACTTCAGTTTGTACAATTAGACATGATATTATATAAAAATGCTAACTTTTGTTTCCTAATAACCCGAATGTTATACTCTTGTGATTTATCAATGTAACTTTGAAATGATTAAATCATAACAATAAATCATCTACAGCTCTATCTAGTGTTGTACCTTGTACTTCTTAATTTAGTGTGTGTGTGTGTGAGAGAGAGAGAACATTTTTATCTCCTTAATCCTGTGATGCAAGATAGTTAGAAATTTATGATGCTGAAGAACTGAGTGATCAGTGTTTATAAGCACTCTTCATTGTTTTGTGATTTATTTTTTTAAGCTGTTGTACCTATCTTTTGTAGAATGTACCAGAAAGACCTGACCCTGAGGAGACAATATCAGGAGACCCAGCACGTGACTTAGCAACTATTCATCATATCTGTGCCACAGAGAAAGCAAAGCTTCAGAATCTCAGTCAAAACTCTGTAAGAAATATCTTTGTTTCAAGCATTTTTAGTTTAGGACAAGTGTTGATCATGTTGTATTGTTTTGTAGCAAAGCAAGTTGTAGTTCTACACTATTTTATCCAAACATTTGTACATATAAGTAATCTTTCCATATATTTTTCCATACGTGATATTGTATCTTTAGATGTTATAGCAGTGTAAAGTGCAGTTTAAATTAGTATCTTTGCAACTAAGTGGTAATGACATTAATCAATAATGTATTAACCCTCTCACTATGGGCTCAGCCGAGTTCATGACCTCAAATTGACCTTTATAGTTTCCGCACTATAACTTCTAATACGTTTTTCTGTATCTTCACGAAATTTTGCAAGTTTTCAGTAAGCATTAAGAGTCTTTTGTAGACAATAATTCAAAATTTTTAATGAAGTATTTTCACTAACAATTTTCTTTGAATGTATAGTCAAAGTGTTGAATGCTCCAAATGCAAAGTGATTTTAATGTTCAGATTAAAAATACTTTTCTTCATTAGAAAATTCGCAAATTTCATTTGCATAATCTCCAAATCCCAGATAAATTTTAAACATTTTTTTTCAGTCAAACTTTGTATTTTATTTGTTATTTTCTCTACCCTAACTCTATACAAAGTTGGTCAATTTGACTGACCTCATAACCACCATAAAAATATTAAATAAATATAAATTAACCTTTTTTTTTCTTTCTAGAATGATTTGAAATTGTAACATGAAACTATATTTGTTTATCTTAAATAGCTTTAAACTTGTAGCAGTATACATCTGTTTGTATGTAAATTTTAATGTTTTATCGTGAGTAGAACCTTGGGGTATGTCATATGATCATTAGAATAACATATTTTTGAAAATTCCTTTGTCTCTCTTTTTTTTCTTCTAAATATAGTGACTTGCAGACACAATTTACTTAAGACAAAGCTTGCATTCTATTCAGTGTCTCAAATAAAATAATTGCTTTCACCAAATTATCTTTCAGTTTGGTAAACTGTCAAGGGGTGGATGGGGATAGATATATTGTATCAGTTTTATATATAAATGTTATTGCCCAGTAATGTTTTCAATTTTGTGTGTATTAAACATTTGCTGAAGTAGTAAATGACTTTTTTTTTTCCTGGGATATTAAGTGTATTTTCAAAGTGTGTCATTTATCACTTTTTTATTGCAAAATTAGAAATTAAAATATTGTCTATTTCACAAGCATTAAGTTTTATTTATTTTGTTTTGTTTGTTGATGCTTAATAATTATCAATTTTCAGAAATCTTTAGCACTGGTACACAAATGGAAAAAAAAAACACATTACGGTTATTTTTTTTTTCTCACTCACCGTGAACCAACTAAGGGTTAAAATACCTCAACTCTCTCTTTTAGATAAACAGAATCTATACCAAACTTCTGGATTTGCATAGTGAAGTTGATTACAGTCACAGATTTGATATTAAAGTAATAAGCCTGTTAACGTAGGTAGGACTTTTTTCACAAGGTCGTCTAAAGATGGACCTAGCTAATCACAAATTGGAAACTCAAACAATTAATATGTTAACTTAAGTAGAACTTTCAACTAATTTTCCAGGGTACTTTGGAAAAGTTAACCATAACCACAAATTGGATATTTAAACTATTAATATGTTAACTTCAGGAGAACTTTCAACTCATTTCCCAAGATACTTTGAGAAAGTTAATTACAACCACAGATTGGATATTTAAACAATTAATATGTTAACTTAGGTAGAACTTTCATCTGATTTTCTAGGCTACTTTGAGAAAGTTAATCACAGTCACAGAAATGCTGTCCAAGCACAAGCAAGTCTACATGGAAATGCTGAGGTAGTGAATGAAAGGAAGCAAGTCAAGAACAGCACAGCCAGGCCCAGGAAGGTTCCTTCTGTGTACTGCCAGTTACTTGAATTTCAAGCCCATTGCTAGTTGTATACTCCAACAGGAATCTTGTCTGGGTCGTTGGTTAACTTAGTTGTATGCTCCAACAGGAATCTTGTCTGGGTCATTGGTTAACTTAGTGTGGTGAGTGAGTTGGTGCTCTGCTTATGTTTTTTTCGTAGCAAATTTGCTCTTTGTTCCTAAATTATTTCTGCTGCTTGTTCCTTTATTGGAGAATATACCTCATAGATCTTCAGACATTCCATATAAACAGTTGGCTTGTTAATTTTTTCTTCCAAAAGGAATGTTGACCCTATGTTTTTTTTTTATCTGTTCTGTCAGCAGATGTACATCTGTATGTATAACAGGAACCTGCCTTACCCTAGTGTTACCTGTTAGTGTTTGTGAACTTCATTTTTGTTGTTGTCTTTTCCCTAATCAATGTGATCGTTATGAAATATATGAAACAGCAGCAGAAACCATACTTTGTGAACTACTGATATCTTTCCACTTCTAAAGCTGATGACATGAAAATTATCTGTGAGAAGCCAATAGTACAACTTAAAATCACAGTCTTAAAATTAAAAAAAAAGTTCTTATAGTTGATAAGAAAGTATAATCAAAATTGCTTTGTTCATACAAAGATGGTTAGATGTGTTTTATTTAAATAGATGTACAACAAAGTTAGCTAGCTGAATCTCAGCTTAAAAATTGACAAACTTGGTGATGTTTCCTCATAATTGTAATCATAATATGAATGAGCTGATATGTAAAAATGTGTAGTACAAAGCCCAAAGTCACCAGTTGGTCCTTAGAAGATGTGTATCAAAGTATCATCAGTATTTGAGATTCCAGAGTCTGATAATGTTATAATGTTTGGGTAATTCAAGTAATATTTACTTAGTTTTTTTGTGAGTTGAATATAATATACTTTTACTGCCTTCAATGGTTGGTGTTAATGTTGTTGTGCAGATGTTATAACTGTACTGCCTTGTAAATAGAAGTAGCCCCTGTATTAGTCAGTAGTGTTTGTAAAGCTGTGTCTGTTTTCAAAGTCTTTGTATGTTTCATTTAAACAGTTACCTAAAGTCATTGGTTTTCAATTCCTCGTGTTTACATGAGTGAAAAGACATCTGGACTTCCTAATGTCCCAGCTCACTTTCATTTGATTTTTTTTTTTTCACTTGTTATTCACCTTTGTTAGCTTTTTACTTTTTCAATTGTTATTCAGTATTTTCAAATTAGACTCTTCAAAATAACTGGTTAGTAATTATTAATACTGTGTTCCCTTGTTCGTTTAGTAGTTCTGATGAGATGGTGTACTGGGAAGAGATTTTTTTCTGTGAAATGTTCATCTCAAAGCACATTTAGCAGTAATTGGCTTTAATAACAAGTTCAGGAAAACCATATCGATGTTTTAAGTTAAGGCATTTATAATAGTACTGTGATACTAAAGTTGTAAGTTTTTCTTATTGGGGACTTCTTTTAAAAGGATATGGCTACAAAAAAAATATTAAGTATGCTCACATATAGCTTTATATATTTCTGTCTGTGTTTTGTAGGATGGCTTTGTCTTTTGGTACTACACCTTACATTAAAGTAGGCTTCCAGAAAAACCTGTAAGGTCCAGACACTACCACTGTTTGCAGATGTTTGAAAGTATACAAAGAGAGTATCTTAAAAAAAAACAACTAATTTCTCTAAAAAACAAATACTCTATTATCTCTGCATAAATTAAGATGATAGGAAAGCTAGCAAGTGTACACCAGCTGTTACTGTTTATCATTTGCTATAGAAACTTAAATAAGATGTCTGATTGGATAGTTCATCACAAAGAAACTATATTGCTGTGTCCATCAAACAGCTCCTTAAGCTATAAATTACCTTACACATTCATTCCAACTTACCTTTTTAGGAAGAACTTTGAAAGTCAGAAATTGTTTTCTCTTCCGTTTACAGTTCATGAAGAGACACTGGTTCGCAGTATGTCTTTAGATTTGTATTGGCTTACTTTCAGTAAAAAACATCAGCCTTGCTAATAGGCTTAAAGATCCTCGTTATCAAATAAGCTTGAAATTTTTTTGCATATTTCACTTGATTTCAGTACATTTTCAGATGAATGGTTTATTTTGAATTTGGTATTTTAAAATTTATTATCTTTATAATGTTTGTATAGTGGTTATTGTGAGTAGGTTTTTATTAACACTCATTTTACAGGACAGTATAAGCTGGCTTGCTTTGACTGCCTCTGAAGACCAAGGATAGCTTGCTTTCTTATTGTTTTGTTTCTGTACTCAAAAAACATTTCGTATAATTTTTAATTTTCTTGTTTCTGTTTTTTTTTTTTTGTTACTGTTTTTTTTTTTGTTGTTTTACAGTTTATGTTCTGTTTCGGTTATTATCACTATTTGTAATAAAAACTTCATAAAAGTGATATGTTTTGTGTAACAAGTTTTCTAAAATTATTATTGTTTCTGATAGTATTTACAAAAGATCTTTAAACTGTCTCTACAAAGCCAAAAATGTATTTGTTTCATACTCTTCTTTTTGTTTTTAGCTAAATTAAAAAAAAAAAGTGGATATATGATCTAATTTTTGGGTTTAGCAGTTTTAGTTGTATACTGTATAGTAAATTCCATGTAACTGTTTGAAAGGTTATTACAGTCATCAAATTGTACCACAGTTAGAGATTTGTATTCTATTATTAGTCAAATTATTGAATGAGTAAATGCATTCACTTGTTTAGTAGTCAAAAATTTTATCATAGTTCCAAGAAATGTATTCACTTTTTCATAAAACTTCCGAGAAACATTAAGAAAGAAAGAAATTAATCTTAACTCATCATTTTGGGATTGTTTTTCAATTCACTTTAATTTTCAGCAGTATATATATCTCTCTATTAGCTTTTAGCATTTTTTTTATTCAGAGCAATTAAAACTACTAGAACTTTTGTAATAGCTGCAAACTATAAAGTTAAATAAGGACTTGAAATCCTTTTGCTGGAAATGATACTTTGAAGAATTTTTAGCAGTTATATAGAACATTCATAGAAATGAGAGAAGTTTTAGGTAAAATATTTTGATCTTTTTTTGTTAAGAATTTACTTTTCTAACTTTTTTTTTTTTCTTTGCAGTAAGTTTAAGATTATCTTTAAAAATTTATTTTAATAAATAGAAGTGACATTTGTAGGTTCATATGAAACGTTGTAGCTTTTGAAATCAGTGAGATTATAATAGAAAATATGCTTATGGATTTTTAATTAGGAGGAATATTAAAAGTAGTGTTATATATGTGTCACCAGGGGGAAAGTATGAAGTTGGCTTTTTTTGTACATCTAATAAAGATCTGTATTTATTTTGTTGCACACTTTTTCCAACAGTTTTCTTCTATTTTTTTGTCCTATTGTATATAATTAAAAGTTCAATTAATGATGTTGCAGCTTATTTATTAGTGTTCTTTATGTAGAACATAGCCATAATTGTTTAAATTGGCCATTTTGATATGAAAGGCAAAAAAAAAATGCTTCTAGACATTTACAAGTTATTATGTATTCCGATTATTAGCAAGTGTATTCAAAGGCCAAACGTTATGTGTTTTTAGTCTTTAAGTATTTGAAAAGCACTTTTAAGAAACTATTTATTATATTGAACTAATAACAGCTCCATCTTGAAGCTGTGCTGATAAAGATGTCTACCACTGTTACCAAGTAAGTCTGTTTCTAAGATTCATTTCATGCAATCATTATTTACAGATGCAGCTTCCCATGGCTGAAGGGGCCAAGGGAACAGATGTGGGGACCAACATAATAATGATAAATATTACATTTGGGCATGAACTAATTGAAATACTTTCATATTAAAAAAAATAAAGCTACAGAAACATTCACTAGTGAGCATACTTGCTTTTTTGTTTTACTGGTTTTTGCTTTGTAGATATTTACATTTACAAATAGGACATTAGAGGAAAGGTATTTGATTTTTGAATGTGACAGAATGCTGTATTTTAGGTTTTGGTATAAAAACAGCAGTAAGTTTTGGGAGTGGGGAATTTTGGGAGGTGCCTTGCCCTCTTCACTGTCATTGAGTCTGATTATTTAAACCATGAAGAGTATTTATGATTTAACTAATAAAATCACATCCTTCGTTCTTCAGGATATTATTTATTATTTCAATATCATGTCAGGAGAGAATGATTCATTATTGTGAACTTTATGTATTTTTCTAAATTTTTTATTACACAGTTTTCTTGTTCATTTGATTGTCGTGAAGAAGGCACAGTTTTTATTTGGTTTTCATGTCGATATATTTCATTATTCCAGTTCATGGTGTAGTATATATACACTTTTTTTTTGTGGGTGGTCCAAATTATGGATAGCAAAAAAAAAAAGTTGATCTTTATCAAGAGCCTGTAGAGTTTTATTGTTTAAATCTAGTATGATAGGTGTATATGTGTTTCACCTTATATTTAGTATTATAGATATAATAAATGAGTAAATATTTGTTACTATGGTAATAACGATGATTAAATGGTTATACTATACAGGCTGTATCAGATGCTATGGTAACAAAGAATGATTGAATGGCTATATTATGCAGGATATATTTATTGTTATATTAGTAGCTAAGAGTGATCGAATATCTCTATTATATGGAACGTACTTGTTACTGTGGTAATATTGATTGACTGAATGGTCGTATTATGCAGGATTTGTTTGTTACAATAGTAATAATGAGCTGTAGATTGGTTACATTATGAAGGATATATTTGTTGTTACTGTTGTCATGTTTGAATGGTGGTCATTTTTATACAGAATGTATGTTTTGATATTGACAAAGGGATTGATATAATGCTCATGCATTTCTCAGGATGAATCTACTGCTGTAGTTATAATGAATGGTGGAATGGTTGTATTATACTTAAAAATATATTATAACTGACTGAATAGATGTCATTTAGAGTTGTATTCATTTTTGATAAAGGTAACAACCACTTTGTTTCAAATAATATGCAAATCTAATACAAGAAAAATAATGAATTTAGAAAATTTGGAACCATATGCTTTATACCAGTCAAGTTTTTTTTATTAATTCACCATATTCTGAAAAATCTTTACAGCATTTATTAAATAATGTTAGTAATTCACTAAAACTGGTTTATAGATCAATGTAATTTGAATTTTTAAGACAGGGTGCTTCTGCTTTTATTTTTTTGTTTGGTTGATAAGTATATGCATTGCATTCTTGGAAACTCTTTTTTATGCTAATAAAAATACTTTTTCAACAGACAGACCTTTAAAATAAGCTTGAGTCTTTTAAAAGTTAAAACCATAATGTTTTGATTACAAATTTCTTTATTTTCAATATTCCAGTTTCTGCTAGTATACATCACATGGTTTAATAATAATAATAAAAGGTCCAAATACTTTGAGATAGCAATAACAGCTGTTCTAAAGACTTATTCATTCTCAGCCAATCCAACCTGTCATATTTCTCCAACATTAATTCTAAAAATGATACATTTTATACTTACTTGACATTTCATATTCAGTCACAGGGTATAACAAAGCAAGTGGTTTTGTGAAATAAGATGATAATGAATATCACTGTAGACCATTATCCAAAACACTTCTGATCAATATAAATGATAGGAAATAATTACTGAAAGAGAACTTGATATGTTAAAGATATTTGTGGTTGCTTTTTTTGAAAATGGGAATTTGTTTCAATCATTTTATGAGTGTGTGTGTTATTAAAATTTATTAAGATAAATGTATCTGGAAATAACTCATATAAAATATTGTACTGGAATTTGAATATAGTTTCTTTATAATCTGAATAAGCTTCAACACACCAGAAATCTTGATCATCTTTCTTACTCTTATATTTTTTTCTTGGAGTCATACATACATAAATACAGTTTTATAAGTCTGAAAGTGTAAAATTTATGTACAATAATAAATTGATCTTGGGTAAATTCCCAAAGACAAATCATCATACGAAGTTAAGTCTTCACTTTAATGAGAGTCCCCTAGTAAGCTCCATAAGCTCCACAGATTTTTGTGAGACAATTTTCCATGTTTCTTTAAATTTTGCCAAACAAATATGATAGACTTTTTTTTATTAATTTTTAAAGATGTGTATAAGTAGCAAAAATATGCTGTTTTTACAATGTGTATTATAAGGGTTATGTTTTTACATGAATTTTGGAGCATTTTTAAAAACCTAAGAATTAGTATAACTGTGCAGTTGATCTAATTTTTCAGTAATTGGTTGGTTTTCACTATCGCTGTTGTAAAAAAAATGTAGTCTGTAAATGTACAAGCTCGCTATTGAGATGTGGTTGGTCATGGAGACAGATTTTGGTTTGTTTTAAAGTACTGGGTAAGTTTGGTTACTTCAAAATCAAAACTTAATGAGCTATGAAAAGTGGAAGTCAAACAATTAGTAGAACATAAACCTGTTGGTTATGGTGTTAATAATTTTGACTAATGAATATTTTCTAGAGTATTTGAGTTAGAAAAACAAAAGTGAGTTGGTAGGTTTTTGGGAGTTCAGTTTAATAACCTTTTTTTATCAATAACTTATTTGAAGAAACTAATTTTAGTTGAGCATCTTTAATGAAGGCACAAGTCAAAACTAGTGATAAAAGAATTGAAACTTTTAATCAGGTTCATATAGCACATGTAGCTGATTGCTACAAAAAAAAAAAGACTGAACCTTGTAGTTGTATGAACATGACTTATTCTCTCCATCTTTGGTAGGGTCACATCTCTCTATTGCATTATTTTACAGTACTTTTTTTTTAAGTATGCATTTCTAAGTTAGAAGTTTACAGTTTAGTCACAATTTTGGTTTCAGTGGTAACACACTTGATTAAGAGTAGGTTTCCTGATGTCTTTATTGAAGTTTTATAGTTGGAATTTTTCCTGGACACGGGACAAAGTATGAAAATTCTAAGGTGGGTACTACACTACCTTTTCAAACAGTGCCCTTGAAGTTCTTAATATCACATATGACTGTATATCTTTTCTGTGGTAGGTATAGTACATCACTAATTGCACCTTTGGCACTGGATCACATAATTGCTAGTGAGCTATTTAACTGATTCTGTTGTACAACCAACGTTCCCCTCCCATTACATTTTTATGATGAAACTTATGACAAATGGTCTTTCGTTGTTGAACATGTAACCCAGTTGTGCCATTCCTTTTGGTCTTTTTGTATCAATGTTAAAGTAACAAGTAGAAAGGTTTTTTTAAATAATGACAAATATTTCTATTCTACAACTGTGTAATGCCAAAACTGATAAAACATGTAGTCCTTTAGATTGAA